ATTACAGTTCAGTCATGAAGAACTTTTTCAGCAGCTGTGGAAGATGCACATTTAGGAAGAGACAATGATTAAAAAAAATATATAGTGCATTAGAAACTGGAAATTCCTTAAGAGATGTTTTCTCCAAAAGGGGTCGCTTATCTCATAATGTAAACTGTTGCATCTAGATAAATAATCTAATATTTTATAACTTTGGTCTCTTTTTCTCCTTATCCTATGTCAGCTGCTGCCTGGCAACTTTTCTGTATCTGGGAGGACAGGGCAGGGCACCCGGCAGCCTCCAGAATTGCTGCCAATATCATTCCCTAGCAACCTGCTTCTTCAGGCCAACTCTTCTCTCTGAGAAGCTGCATACATCACCTCTGTGACACAGTCCAGAAACCCTGGTATGTACAACCACAAGTTTTCTTGTTAACTTATGACCTGAGGTGGGTAGCAGGTGAATTATTAATGCCAGTAGTAATAGGCCACCTATTCAAATATTATAGCAAGCACCCAAAAATGAAATATAAAAGTAAAATAAAAGTTTAAACAAACATTAAAAACAAATACCTGTTTTTTCACTAATGCAAAGAAGATATTTCCATAACTGCTAATGTTAGAATTAGCTCTGGCTGATGATTAATATTCTTGTGTTGTTTTATACTAGCAAGTGAAAATGATTGGTTCTACTTTGTTTAATTTATCTCAATAAGATATTTCATAATATTCTATAGCTTGATGAATTAATTTATTTAACTTGTCAGTATTAATAACCCCGATTAGTATGAAGAAGGTATAATACAATGAAGGAACAAACAGATCTTGAACAGCATTTTTAGCTTTGATTTCTCTGTTCACCATTAGTTCATTCTAATTCCCCATTTAATTATAATGTTTATTACAGTGAAAGAATATTTCCAGACACCCATAAAATCTTTCCCCAAACCCTTTTGGCTGAATGCTCTCTAGCACTTCCTGTTTGTCACTCACATGGAAAAGACTGAAACCTTCAAAAAGTAGGACACACTTTCCTGACACTTGAACTATTTCTACAATAGCTATTATGTCCATTGCTGTTGATAGAGAACCACACAGAAGTCCTTACATGTGTAAGGATACATGTGTAAAAGGTGAACTTTAAAAAGGACGGCTGTGAGGGGGGAGGGAGGAAATCTAATAAGTGTATCTAATTCTTTTTCTTATGAAAGCTTCTTTGAGACTAAGCCAGTGAAGTAAAAATGTATTAATAGGTGGTCATTTAAGTTACTTTGTCTTTCAAAGTACATGTAAACACCATCTTGATACTTGAACTTTGCATTATATCTCAGGCATACTTTGTTACTCATTCCTTCCAATATTTTCAGGATTATTCTGTTCTGTATATTATACTTTTTATACCAAAACAATCCATGTAGAGGAGGTTTTAGGTGCTGATTTACTGAGGTGGACAGATGGTATTAAAGTTAACATTATTCATATATATTTGTACTTTTGATCTATATTGTTAGAGTAGTTTAATTTCATCACATAGATGTGACTTCATAGTGAATAATGTTTAATGGAAATGAAATTGAGGGGAAAATGATTTATTAAAGGTCAACTTTTATTTGTGCAATGGCCTATATTTTAAAACCAGGCTTCCATAATAATTACCATCTCTTTATAGCACTATTTTAAACCAAGGTTCATTTATGGGTGGCTATTTGACAAATGATTACTTACAGGTAATTGCATTTTTATTTATAATTCTGAGTGCACACATTTTTATTTATAATTCTGGGTATATTGACACCTTATTTCCTGGAAATACAGAACACATTGACTTTTATTTCAAAAAAGTGAACGCCTTTTTATTTTAATGTTTAGATGCATATGTGATTTGCAATATTGAAAGTAAGATCAATTAAGTCCTCAAAGACTCTCATAAATGTTAATGTTTAAAATGGATAGTAAATTGCGCTTTATCATTAAAGCAAATTATTCAAGTAGACTACTGAAAAGCTTTGTTCGATAAGTACGGGGTAAAGCTAAAAAGGAACAAATTAGTAATAAAGCTTCAGATGGTTGGAAATACGTTTTTAGTGGAAATGATTTTGTAAGAATGATTAACTTGTAAAGGGACAGTATGCCAATTAAAAGATAATGTTTGAGGCAAAATTATGACTGCCTTTAACACTATGCACTTGAGACCTGTGCACAGGATGCATTTTATAAATCAGAATAAAATGGATTGCTAATAGATATTGAATCAAAAATATTCAATTATTATGCTAAATTTGTGAGGGGAGAAGAATTCAGTTAAAATACAAGAAAAGATTGTATACTATCAAAAGTAAGAATTATAGCTTTGCTAAGTGTCTGAGAAAAAGTCCTGTGTTACATGTCATACATGCATTTCTTTATGACATGCAGCCCGGTCTTGCAGTCCTTCCATGTGGAGAAAGCCGTTGTCTTCAGTGGGAGTTCCCATGCCTGGCATACGGCGTCTTCCATTCATACCTTTTATGAAATAGAAAGAAAAACATTCAGATTCAAGACATGTTAAAAATGTAATAAGATACAAGCAGTACTATAATAACTATGTAAGAGCCATACAAGTTGAGTATTGTGATTTACAAGAGACAAGTGACACTCTTGAAATGGTGGAATGCTGTTTCAATATGTAAGTTCCTATTTTGTCTGGGAAGTGGGGGAAGAGCTGAATTCATAGGACCATAGAAGTTCAAGGTGGAAAGGATATATTTCATCATTTAATTCACCCACAAGTTGTCAGTATGGGATTGTTCCCTACACTGGGCCAAGTCCTGTGCTCAGTTAAATTTGGGAATGGGCGACGGGGATGGATCACTTGATGATTACCTGTTCTGTTCATTCCCTCTGGGACACCTGGCATTGGCCACAGTCGGAAGACAGGTTTCAGAGTGGTAGCCGTGTTAGTCTGTATCAGCAAAAAAAAAATGAGGAGTACTTATGGCACCTTAGAGACTAACAAATTTATTTGGGCATAAGCTTTCATGGGCTAAAACCCACTTCATCAGATGGAACTTTTAGGTCTGAAATTGAGAACACTTCAACCTCCCTGGTCACTCAATTTCAGACCTAAAAGTTGCAATTCTCTGACCAAAAAAAAACCCCTTCAAAAACAGATTCCAACGAGAAACTGCAGAATTGGAATTAATTTGCAAACTGGCCATTAAATTAGGCTTGAATAAAGACTGGGAGTGGATGGGTCATTACACAAATAAAAACTATTTCCCCATGCTTATTCTCCACCCCCCCCCCCAACACTGTTACTCACACTTTTTTGTCAACTGTTTGAAATGGGCCATCCTGATTATCACTACAAAAGGTTTTTTTTTTTCTCCTGCTGATAATAGCCCACCTTAATTGGTCTCATTACAGTTGGTATTGCAAAACACCCATTTTTTCATGCTCTCTGTGTGTATATATATCTTCCTACTGTATTTTCCACTGCATGCATCAGATGAAGTGGGTTTTATCCCACAAAAGCTTATGCCCAAATAAATTTGTTAATCTCTAAGGTGCCACAAGTACTTCTCGTTTTTTTCAGTTGGAAGACAGGATACTGGGTTAGATGGACCTTTGGTCTGACCCAGTATGGCCGTTCTTATGTTCTGTTAAACAGCTGTAAATTGTGAGTGATGTTTGTGTAAATCCTGAGTAATTGCACTAACACAGAATTTGGCCCAGTAGAATGTTCTTCCATCTGGTGTGTAATCCAATATTAAATTACTCGAATGGTAGGGTTTTAGTATTCCCTGGTGAATTTTTGCCCTGATCCTGTTCTCCTAAATCAGTGGAAACAGGATTCGGTCCTTCATTTTTTAAACAGCTATCTCAAGGACTCCTAACTGATCCACATCATTTTACTATATATGATTCAAATACTCCATAATTCTCCCAACTTGTCTTTTATTCTTTTTTGCATTGGACTTCTCCTCCACCACCTGCCCCCTCAAGTTTTCTGGGTGTTCAGTTTCATATAAAATGTATTTTAGACTCTGTGCCAGGGAATATAAATATAAAGTTAAAAGGACTAAGGCTTTGCCCTTGAAATGTAAAGGTCTTAGCTGACAACTTCAGCTTCTTGCTACATTCTGAGAAAACAGATCTCTAAAAGTCTATATAATTGTCTTAGCTCCTGCAGTTTGTTAAACGTGTTTTAAGTTTTATAAAAAGGTAACCTAAACTGGTTTTGGCTTCCGATAGGTTCAAGTTAATGCTGGTTTTTTGTTTGTTTGTTTGTTTTGTTTTTGGCAAATAAAATTATTAACATGACTACACAAAGCAGAAAAAAAAATCCAAAATTATTTTTAAATGTGGTCATCTATTAGGTCAGCTGTTGTAAAGAGGCACCAATAGCTAACCAAAGCATGCAAATCCCTCTTTGGATGCCAACTCTTATTTCCCACATATAATGGTAAAGAGTTTTCTAATGGTACCTTCATTTCTTTGGCTAATAGGTAATGCCTTGTTTGTTTGTTTGCTTGCTTGTTTGCTGAATCACTTAGTGTGATACACAAGTCCTCCTGAGGTTTGTGTTTGTATAGTTTTAAAAAAAAAACCTCTTTTTATTTCATTTTTGCTATTTTCTGTAGCTGAGGCAACCATTTTCCTCTTGAACAGAACTGAGTTACTTTGCTCCCTGTTCATCCTCTACTAGATGCAAAACTAAAATGTGCTACTTCTAGAAGAGGAAGCTATGAATGATCTGAGGCTATGAATGATCTGAGACCCGGCTTGCCATTAGGGGAAGAGCAGAAAGGCTTAGCTGTTGGATATAATGCAAAAGCCTCCCCTTTCTAAATGTCCAGATCCCAGCAGAATATTGAGAGCTACTTCCCTTTCAGGGAGACAGAAATAATTGTGATTTGTAGTGTTTTCCATTTGCAGGGGTATTTTCCTGTTGTGTTAAATGCCTCTTATTAAGTAATAGAGGTGATTTATGTGGACACCAAAACGGTCTGTGGTAGATTCTGTGATTAATCAGTGAATTCCCATCCTCTGGCATCTCTCACTGCCCCTCTTGCGTGATGTAAGATCAGACGTACTCTGCATTGAAAAGTCAAGGCACACAAGCTGCTCTCACACACATACACCTCGCAATCCTGCTGAAAGCAGGGGGAAGGCGGGCAGGCTGGGCTCATTTAGCAGACGAATTCCCATTGACATTTGTAAATTACGCAGCTCGATTGCAGACTTGCTGCTGCTGATTTACTGAGTGCGCAGCCAAGCAGCCCCGGCAGAGGAGGACGCTTCAATCCGGCCACAACAATGTCTGAGTTTCTTTTTGCCTTAGTAGCGATCTCAGGATTATTTCCTGTTGCTAAAGTGCTGGCAGCGGGAGCCGATCGAGGTAAGGAGAACACTTTATTTTCCTCTGAGATGATTTGGGGAAGTGTCTAAAACTTCCTCCGGCAGCTCAGCTCAGCTGCATGGGACATTTGTCTCTGCCAATGCTTCTCGGGCTGTTCGTACAAAAGCAAAAAAATAAGATCAGGTAGAGAGACATGCAGCACGGAAAGTATCTTCCTGCGTGCACAGCGGACTGTGATTTGACTTAGCTGCCTTGTGACAGACTCTGCAGATGTTAGTATCCGATTTCACCCTCGTAGATGCTCTCTGCCTGCGCTGCTTATTGCAAGGCATTGCAAACCTTGGCGGTCGCTTCTTGTTAACCGTCACGCTATCTGCGAGCCTACCTTTCAGTTCTCAGCTTGTATTTCGGTAACTTCCTTGCCTGCTGCGAAGCAGCCTCGCGCAAGCTGTGCTTGTCTCGGGGCTGATTTCCTGTATACAGACCGAGCCTTCTCGGGAAGGCACCTAGCGAGCTGCTGTGGCTAGGCACAGGACAATAGGTCACCATCTCCTCTCCCTACTTTCTATTGAAGCTTTTCAGCCCAGGCACTTGTATTAGCTTGAGATACAAAACAGCGATACACTTTCAAGCGCAACTTCTCCTTCTTATGGTCTCCTCGGTAGGGTATGGCATTAATGAGCTAACGAAAACATTCAGAAGCAAGAATAAACCAGCGTTAGGTGAGCTTTCTAGCCAGAACGTGGGGTTTCTTTTTTAGAGCCTCTCTGAAGTTTTGTAACCCCTCCCGGGCAAACACAGAGCAAAATGCACCCAGACCAGTAACTCAACCCGATCGATGTTCACATGGGCATAATTAAATGTATCCTTATGCCTTATGGAAACTTGGCTATTAAGATCATCTTATTTTGACTGATAATGCTCAGGCTTTTGGTCTAATTAGAAACAGATAAATAAACCTTATACCAATGTCAGACAGGAGGGGATGGGGAGAGAATGGATCACTGAATGATCTAATGACAGTGTTTATATGAAGGCAATTATGTATTGACTTTAAATTATTGCTTCATTATAACAAAAACCCAAACAACCAGGCATGAATTGTGATGCTTCTATCCTGTATAATACTTAGAAAATGAAGTATGTACTCTGTTAGAGATATATACCCACACAGAAACACACTGTATGGTAACACTAGCAGAGGGTTTTCTGTGAGTAGTTTTATAAGGCTAATCAGTGGTGAATTTTTGCAACTGCTGATTGGTTCTACCTTTCAAAGAAGCTTCTAAAACTATTTCCAGAAGTCCTTTTATTCAATTCCATTACCTTACCATCCATATGATTTTTGAACTTTATTTAAATGGTGTGAAGTTCATGAGGGGCTAAATAAAACTGCACAGCTAAGTAATAAAGAATACAGAACCTTTTAGCCAAGGCACTAAAATTAAGATCTTGAAAGATTTCAGAGTAGCAGCCGTGTTAGTCTGTATTCACAAAAAGAAAAGGAGTACTTGTGGCACCTTCGAGACTAACAAATTTATTTGAGCATAAGCTTTCGTGAGGTACAGCTCACTTCATCGGATGCATTGAAAGAGTAACTGTTTTCCTGTCTTAGGAAATCTTAGATGAAAGACGACAGAATCCCTTGGGCTGGAATTAAGTTGAACTGTTCTTTATTCTGACAGTATTTGATGCTATTAATAGACTGACTTTGCTATATGATGCTTGAATTAAATATTTTTAAAAGTAGGATTTAGGTCATCTTTGTATTTATTAAGCACAAGAGTGTTATCATGTTGATTTGACTAAAAGTTGTTTTGGTAGATCAAAATTTATTAAATAGTAAAACCCATTAGATCAGATTGTTTTCTAGCTCCTTAGCCTCTAAACTACATAACTAATGAAATGAGACAGCATTAAATATTGTCATATTCAATTTTGCTAGGAATGAATTATATTTTATTATAAATGTAACTATATGATGTATTGAATTAGCATTATGAAACTTGGAGTGTTCTGTATCATACACATTGGCTACTGACTTGTTTACTGACTGTTTAAAACTCATTTGAACAAGTACAAATGGCTTTAGATAGCAGAAATTTGTGCCTGAAATAGACTATAATTCAACTACCAAAGCTGTTAAGTCAATGGAAATTGACTGGCTATCAGAAAATCTAATGGATGGTTCACACCACAAGCTGGAAAAGCAACCCCCTTGACTGGATAGCAAAGAGACAAGTATCACCGTGGGATCACAAACTTGCATATTAAAACATGCCATCATAAGATGCCAGGCTGTAGCGCAAGATACAGGCTGACATTCAATATAATGCTACCTACATAGCCTAACACTAAAGGTTCTAGGAGACTCTGCTCGGTTTATGAATGGTACAAATGGTTTTTCTATGATTCAGTATTGTATATGGAGAATTTTGATCACACTAATGCCAGTTCGTTGGAAGAACTTCAAGAACTTTCCAAGATTTGTGCAAAATAGTCTGAGTACATTTCAAGAGCAGTAGCCTGAATACATCCGTGATCTTGTGAATAAAAACCTTAGCTATTAACCATTTTGTGAAACTGTACTAGAATCTAACCTTGTGTACCCTGCTCACTGTTGGAGGTTAGCAGATGACAATTGATTCATGAACAGAAGATTCTGATTTTAATTTTTGCTTTAATGTTTGTTTTTGTTATATAAATGGACTGTTGGCTTAAGTTATAATCAATCCAGTTTTAAAAAGGCAACATCATTCTAAAACATGCCATCCAAAAGAGTGGGATAAACCAGATTCACTTAGAATCAAGTAAGTCATCATATCATCATGACATGTCTTATCAAAGCATAGCGTGGTGCAAATTAAGACTTAAAAGACGTAGTGTTTAAAAATGTCAAATGTTCTCAACATAAGTGCTTCAGAATGTACCACCCATGAAAATGGTATTACATTTTCATGTCAGGTAATGTTTGGGACATATTGCAAAAAGCACTGACTATACAGGTATTGGTTTTCTGTATTAAATGTTTAAAGTTTGTCAAACATGGTGGGTTGCAATTTATCCAAACTCTCAAATTTGGAATGCAGTAGTCACAGTGTTGACTGAAAGGGAACTAGAAAAATATCCTGGATTTTATCAGATCTATTCTGCCGCCAAAATGAGGTCACTACTGCTCTATTTTATATAATAAATAATAAACGGTTAGAGATGAGAGAGAAGTTAGGGGAAAAGAAAGGAAAGGAAAAGAGGGGGGACAATAGAAAGGAATGGAAAAGCATTGGGAGGAAAAAGAAAACAAGCTCTCTGGTGAAGAGGTTCATTTATTAATTTGGAAATGTCATTAGCTTTGGCTTAGTTTTCAATTGTAACATTTTAAAGGAAGTTCATGGAACTCCTCATTCTTGAGGTTCTCCTACCATAAAGCTAGATCTACTACAATAAATGCTGGAAAAATGCCTGATAACAGGTGACATGTCTGAGTACAGTACATACATTACCTGCTCTATCATAGATAGACAGAAGAGTTTCAGAACAAGTGGGTAGCTCCAGGAATTATGTTAAGAGTATCAGAATGGTCAGATGGTTCTGTAGTTTCAGAAGGCAATACTTAATGATTTCATCAATGAACTTTCTTGAAGGATGGTGAAAGGGACATGTGGTCGTCGTCATCATCATGTCCTCCCCATAAATGTTTGTCATCTTAATGCCTCCCCTCACCCAACTGCAGGATTTTCACCTAGTCTGATGTGCCTAACTTTTTCTTTTCTGCTCACAGTGAGACATGAAAGCAGAATTTTTACAGAATCAGACTGATTCCCGAATGAGATGTCGGTTTACTTAAAACTCATGAATTACCACATAACTGAATCCATTGCACACAATTACTTCCCCCATCCCATTTTTAGTTTAAAAAGTATGTATTCCCCTTGGTGTTTTTTTTTAAGCTATTCTGGATCCCAGGGAGGAGATCCAAGGATGGATTATCATGGAAACTACTCCTTTCTAGACTCATAAACCTCACCAGAAATCTCGAGTCCACGTACAAGGGAATTTACTGTTTGTTTGTTTTTTCCTAATGTCTCTTGGCCACCTTTAAAGTTTGGCAATACACTTAAATGTACGTGAACATGTAAAATTGCCAGGTTTAAGAGTCAGATGATTTCTGCTCTGAAACTATCTGCAAATAGTCATAATGAATGTGTTTTTTAAGCTTGACTCCAATCTCATTATTAATACGTTGCTGTTTTTAAGTAGAACATGCAAAAACAGTTGTACTCTGCTCCTGCCAAATGGAGCTGCTCCTTGTCAATCAAGTGTGAAGTATTCTCAGTGGTCTTAAGACAAGCAAATTCAAATAAAGCTGTTTCAGTGCTTTAATATAGAGACACCTCTTCTCATACTTAAATTTCTGTATCTCTGTTAATTGAGAGAGAGCAGTATTGTGCCCACAAAGGCAATGTTTACAAGGTCATGGTGACATTTTTCCAGTTGTTTACTATGAAAAACAGTTTTACAGAAAGCTTGGTGTGCTCCTAAGAAATGTATTTATCATTGGAGAAGTAAAGGTATCCAGAAGGGAGAAAACAGAAGGGCATTTAGGACAACAGTTAAAAAAAAAAAGAAATGCCTTAATGATGCAGTTGCAAAAGAAAATGAGTGAAAGATTTCCATAAGAATGTTTTTATTCACTAGTGCAATTGGCGGTAGGTAAAATGCATGTCTGCTCCCAGTTGAGTACGCAATTACATGTGCAAAATACTGCCATTTTCAAAACAATCAGGGAAGTGTGTGTGCAGTCTTGTTCATAGGCTAATTAACATTCATATCATTCCTAGCCATGTCCTTATTTGCGCTAAGCAAATAGATTTTAATAGATTTTTTTCCCTTAATTAAAACAATGTCAAAAAGGAAATTATAAAAGGCAAAAGTCTTAACATCAAAATACAGTAGAGAAATTTTGTTTTCCTCCAAACTCCTTCTTAATTCCTTAGAGGTTTATTCCTGCTCCAGATTAAGATACTGATCCTGCTAAAATT